GGTCAATCACCCTCGGTCTGGGGCTCCATGCAAGATCTCACCTCGTGGGGCATCAATGATCATGAGGAAGGTGAGGGATCAGCCCAGAACTACACGGCAGGACCTGGTCAATGACCTGAAGAGAGCTGGGACCACAGTCTCAAAGAAAACCATTAGTAACACACTACGCCGTCATGGATTAAAATCCTGCAGCGCACGCAAGGTCCCCCTGCTCAAGCCAGCGCATGTCCAGGCCCATCTGAAGTTTGCCAATGACCATCTGGATGATCCAGAGGAGGAATGGGAGAAGGTCATGTGGTCTGATGAGACAAAAATAGAGCTTTTTGGTCTAAACTCCACTCGCCGTGTTTGGAGGAAAAAGAAGGATGAGTACAACCCCAAGAACACCATCCCAACCGTGAAGCATGGAGGTGGAAACATAATTCTTTGGGGATGCTTTTCTGCAAAGGGGACAGGACGACTGCACCGTATTGAGGGGAGGATGGATGGGGCCATGTATCGCGAGATCTTGTCCAACAACCTCCTTCCCTCAGTAAGAGCATTGAAGAAGGGTCGTGGCTGGGTCTTCCAGCATGACAATGACCCGAAACAACACACAGCCAGGGCAACTAAGGAGTGGTTCCGTAAGAAGCATCTCAAGGTCCTGGAGTGGCCTAGCCAGTCTCCAGACCTGAACCCAATAGAAAATCTTTGGAGGGAGCTGAAAGTCTGTATTGCCCAGCGACAGCCCCAAAACCTGAAGGATCTGGAAAAGGTCTGTATGGAGGAGTGGGCCAAAATCCCTGCTGCAGTGTGTGCAAACCTGGTCAAGACCTACAGGAAATGTATGATCTCTGTAATTGCAAACAAAGGTTTCTGTACCAAATATTAAGTTCTGCTTTTCTGATGTATCAAATACTTATGTCATGCAATAAAATGCAAATTAATTACTTAAAAATCATACAATGTGATTTTCTGGATTTTTGTTTTAGATTCCGTCTCTCACAGTTGAAGTGTACCTATGATAAAAATGACAGACCTCTACATGCTTTGTAAGTAGGAAAACCTGCAAAATCGGCAGTGTATCAAATACTTGTTCTCCCCACTGTATATCCTCCTGTGTTAAATTATATACTGTAGCCTACACCTATATCCTCATGTGTTAAATACCCCTCCTTGTCCTTTATCTTCTCAAGAACCCTTGGAAAAATAGTTGGAGCAAAAGAATGCCATTACTCAGTGAGAAATATGGTCTGGCCTGGTCTGTGAAATGTCTTCTTCCTGCTGGCTATCAGAGAAAACAAAGCTAGCAGCTATAATAAAGTTGTTTGACAACTAGCTAGTGTAAGAGGAACATGGTGGATGTGTAGATGTAGGAACATGGAGAACAGGACACATGGAGTACTTATTTTCTTTGCTGAGGGAGACTTTTACTAGAGTCAGTATGGGAAGAGTTTAATAGACGCACGTAGGAACACACACCAGAGAAGACAAGACCCTTGACTTTTAAATTGAGCTGTTTATTTGAGATGATGCAGAAAGAATGCTGCTATGGAGGAGATATTCTGAAAACTTGGGGTTTCCTCACTCTCCTGACTACAAACATGACTTCCACTGCAATACGCAGTGGAGACCAATACTATTATACATTCTGAAATAGTTTTTATAAACTATAACAGCAGATCTGTGATGGTTCTTAAGATGGTAACAAACAAAATAATTACTCAGGTTGAACCATCTATAACAAGATAGTAACTATAGTACAATACTAACATCAATATCAATAGACAGTAGCAAAATAAAGCTTAAATAACATAATACTTTATCATAAGATAACAATATCTAGTCAAGTTTTCCTATAGTAATATGTCCTATTTTAACAAACAGATGTAGGCTAACATCTGTTTTGTCTAGTTAGGCAGAGGGCAGCTTGGGGGTTCTTAGACCTGTTGAGACTTGATGACACCCCTTTCTTTTCCATTCAATTCTACGTAGCTGTGTGTGTGTTTTCAGTCTTACGATTCCCAGAGAGTCACTTGTGTGTTTATGACCTGTTCCTTACTGTTGTTGAACTTTAACCTCTTCAGTCCCTTATACACACACATACCGCTAACCCTGATTTCATACGAGGCAGGTCCCCTTCCAGTTATTAAAGCAGACCTGTACACACCCTCTGCCCATAAAATAAAGCCATACAAAGTTTCTATATTTTGGAAAAATCAAAAACAGAAGCATGATAAAAAGAAATCCAACGAAAATACTAACATAGTATAATTTTTCAGCACTGTAAAATCCAGTTAAAAAATACAATTTCAGTCCATACAATACAGAAAAATGCAAAACAATACTCAACAAGACTGTGGGTTGTTATGGTAACACCCTGGGCCCTTAGCCATAAAGACCCCTGACCTTTCAGAAGCATTCATTGGGTGATTTGGATTTATTTTGATGAGCTATCCGTTGGCATATGTGACATTTCCACAGTGGGGCTCCATTGATTTCTCAACAGTAATACGTTTCAGTCTGTTTGGGTTTCCCGGACGCCACCCGGTTGTTTAAATGTCTTGGGTTGTGTCCCAAATGGCACCATATTCCTTATGTAGTGCACTCCTTTTGACAAAGGGCCCATAGAGCTGCGTTCGAAACTAGGCAATAGGGTACCATTTGGAACACAGACGCAGACATTTAAACAACCGTGTGGTGTTCGAGAAACCCAAACAAACTTAGAGAAACCCAAACAGACTGAAACATATTATTGCCTGGGTTATTTCTGTTCCAAAGTGTCACTGAAGGTTACACCCTCTCACCAAGCCACGCTTCATAGGGCACATATAATTGGGCCAGCAGCACACAGGCTGTAGAAAGAGAAGGACATCTATATGTAACACTTACAGTGAGCTAACACTTTGCAGTTCTATCAAGGTTGTACAGTGCCAGCTACAATGGCTGTAATGACTTTCAGCTACAATGGCTGTAATGACTTTCAACTACAATGGCTGTAATGACTTTCAACTACAATGGCTGTAATGACTTTCAGCTACAATGGCTGTAATGACTTTCAACTACAATGGCTGTAATGACTTTCAGCTACAATGGCTGTAATGACTTTCAACTACAATGGCTTTAATGACTTTCAACTACAATGGCTGTAATGACTTTCAACTACAATGGCTGTAATGACTTTCAGCTACAATGGCTGTAATAACTTTCAACTACAATGGCTGTAATGACTTTCAACTACAATGGCTGTAATGACTTTCAACTACAATGGCTGTAATGACTTTCAACTACAATGGTGTAATGACTTTCAACTACAATGGCTGTAATGACTTTCAGCTACAATGGCTGTAATGACTTTCAGCTACAATGGCTGTAATAATTTCAGCTGCAATGGTTGTAATGACATTCAGCTACAATGGCTGTAATGACTTCCAACTACAATGTGTTGAACTGTATATCTTCCCAACTTAAAGCTGAAATTCTTAGGTTACCTGAAACATAACATTCCTTTTACCCTTCCAAACATTCTTTTCATTTTACCTTTTTTCAACTCTACCTCTCTCTACTACCCATTTATTTTCCCAGCTACACTAAGCTACTATCTCTCACTTTCTCTTTCTATCTTTCTCTCTCTCTCTTTCTCTCTGTCTCTTTCTCTCGGTCTCTTTCTCTCTCTCTCTCTTTCCATCTTTCTCTCTTTCTATCTTTCTCTCTCTCTCTTTATCTTTCTCTCTTTCTCCCTCTCTCTCTCTCTCTCTCTCTCTCTCTGCCCCCTATTTTTTCTCTCCATTCTGAGTCTTCAGTCTGGGGAGGAAGGGGTGTAACAGCCTGGTCCAGCACCCAACTTCCATCCACAAACAAGACCTCTACAACCAACCCATTAACCCTTACCACTAACTCACTCTGTTAGAACTACACGTCTATCTACCCCCTTCTTTTTTTCAGTATTTCCCTTTCCAAAACGACTACAGTTCCATTACATATGGCCTACACATGACCTAGTCATGTAGACTTGAGGGCTTGTAGCCACAACTCTGTGAATCTCCTTAAGTTTTGACTACACGTCTATCCACCCTCCAGCCGTTCTGTCTTTCAGTCCCATTTCCAAAACAACTACAGCTCTACTGTGAAACCAAATGGTTACGTACATGAACAAGTCCAAGTCGTTTAGACTCAGGAGAGTGCGTGGTCACAGCTCCGTGAATCGTCTCCCTATAGTTTTGTCTAATGTGGGGAGTTTTGTTGGTTATCGAACTGTTCCTCCATTAACCAGGAAATACAGTACTTGATAACATAGCACTAATAAAGGCACTTCCTTTGGACGGCCCATACAGTTGAGTTATCCCAATACACATTGTTTGCTCTTTAACTTTCCCACTGTGATAGGTGTCCTGATGGATTATGAGGAATATCACGTATGGCATTCATGTCAATTCAATCAAGTAATACTATTATTCAGTATCATTTCTTGAAGGGTACATACAGTAGATACGTCTTGAAATGACCAAAACACACTGGCAATATTTGTCTGTTTCAACAATATAATAACTCAATGGATAACACATGGGCCTAACTGTCCATTACATTGAGATAACATGAACATTAGGCCTAACTGTCCATTACGTTGAGATAAGTACATAGATTCAAAAACAACAGTCCTTCTTCTAAAGGTGCTTAAGGAAACCTAATGGAGATTTTCCATGAGCTTCACCCCAGCATGGTTTGTGTCTCTGAGAGACATATAATACAATACTTATTTGGCTCTATTAAACATGTAAACATTTACAGCAGCACTGTCTCTGAGATGGTAGATTCAGTACATTAAGGTGGCTGGGACGCCCAGTTCACAACATACTTGGCCAGTCCTAACCCAGAAATGAGGGTTCAAGTGTGTGTGTGTGTGTGTGTGTGTGTGTGTGTGTGTGTGTGTGTGTGTGTGTGTGTGTGTGTGTGTGTGTGTGTGTGTGTGTGTGTCTCCTTCCCATGTCCCTTCCCTTCCTATCCTCCTAACTCCACCTCCCCTAGGTCAGTTTGCTGCTGATGTCCAGGGCGTGTTGGTAGACCTGGGTCATATCATCCATGTCCCCAAGCAGAGAGAAGCTGCCGTCGTCCCCAGGAGACCCTGGTGTCCCTCGGGTCCCCACCTTCCCCCCATGGAGCCCCCCTGCAGCCGTCTGGAGGCCCCGTCTGAAGCCTGCCAGCTGGAGTAGATCCTCAGCCGACATACAGGCCCTGACGTTGGGCTGCGGGGACGAGGAAGGCCAGTCCATCCCCATGAAGGGAGGAATATTGGAGAGACCCATCTCCTCACAGACAATACTGGAGGGTCTGCTCTGGCTGCGAGAGAGGCCTGAGTCCCCCTGAGTTTCCCCGTGGTAGCCCATATTGGACAAGCCACTGTGGAAGGAAGTGGAGTTGCCGTACTTCCCGTTGCGCTTCAATATGCCCTTTCTCCCCATGGACCTCTTTGTTGGTGAGCTAGCGGGTGGGGCCATGGAGGTGCTGCCCCCTAGCAGTTCAGAGGACTCACTGTGCTCCGGGGAGGAGTAGTAGCCAGACTCCCGCTGCTGGTTGTTCTTCAGGATGCCCTTCTTGGGGAGGGTGGGCAGCATCTTGGCCGGCGAGACCCCCAGGCGATCCTGATCATCGTCCTCCTCCTCATCCCTCTCGGGGCTGGAGGGCAGCTCCCCTCCCTCGTGGAAGTGCAGGGAGCGACTCAGCTCGATCTCCCCCAGGCTGTGGGACCTCTGCTCGGACACACGCATCTTGAGGATCCCCTTGGGCCTCTTCAGCCCTGGTTTGTCTTTGTCTTTGTCTTCCCCCGTGGTGCGATGGTGGAGCGCTCCGCTGTCATTCTCCTTCATGGACTTCCTCAGGCGCTGGCGGCCAGCATGGGGGTTTACGGCGGGGGGTTCCGAGCGGGGAGGCTTGACCGGCGCCACCCTGGGCGACTCTGTGGTGCGGTTCTGCCAGTCGATAAAGCGTGCTAGTGTTGGAGAAGAGGCGCAGCCACTGTTGTCCTTCTGGACGTCACAGTCACACACAGTGGTTTTCCAGCCCCAGTTGACCCACCAGTGGTTGGCGATGTCTTCCACCGTGGCTCGACGCTCCGGGTTAACCATCAACATCCAGCGGATCAGACCACGAGCATCTGGGCGAGAGGGAAGGTGAGGAGGACAGAGACTTTAGCAGCAATCTATGGCCTTGTTTAACAATTCCTGCTCCAGAGAAGTACATAGTGTACAGGCTTAGAGTAATAACTCCTGATTCAGATAATCAAACTCTGGGTGATTATTAGAGTAATAACTCCTGATTCAGATAATCAAACTCTGGGTGATTATTAGAGTAATAACTCCTGATTCAGATAATCAAACTCTGGGTGATTATTAGAGTAATAACTCCTGATTCAGATAATCAAACTCTGGGTGATTATTAGAGTAATAACTCCTGATTCCGCTAATCAAACTCTGGGTGATTATTAGAGTAATAACTCCTGATTCAGATAATCAAGCTCTGGGTGATTATTAGAGTAATAACTCCTGATTCAGATAATCAAACTCTGGGTGATTATTAGAGTAATAACTCCTGATTCCGCTAATCAAACTCTGGGTGATTATTAGAGTAATAACTCCTGATTCCGCTAATCAAACTCTGGGTGATTATTAGAGTAATAACACCTCATTCCGCTAATCAAACTCTGGGTGATTAGTCTATTATTGAATCAGGTGTTTTAGTTCTTGACTTGAAACAAAAGCCAATATACAGTATGACATTGGTAGAGAGATAGAGAGAGAGAGAGCGGAGACAGCTACAGTCAAACTAATACCTGAGGACTGTGTAGGTTCCCTGTACTCTCCGTTGGTGATCTGGCGGATGAGTTTATTGTGGTCTTCCCCATCGAAGGGCATGGTCCCATAGACCAGGGTGTAGAGAAGCACTCCCAGGGCCCAACTGTCTACCTGGAAACACAACACACTGGCAGTTACAATACTGTCTACCTGGAAACACAACACACTGACAGTTACAATACTGTCTACCTGGAAACACAACACACTGGCAGTTACAATACTGTCTACCTGGAAACACAACACACTGGCAGTTACAATACTGTCTACCTGGAAACAAAACACACTGGCAGTTACAATACTGTCTACCTGGAAACACAACACACTGGTAGCTACAATCCTGTTTACCTCGAATCACAACACACTGGCAGTTACAATACAACACCCTTGTGATATGTAGACAACACATCATTTCTCCAAAGCTTTCTTGTATGGTGGCCTCAGTAGCACACAGACCTCGAGGCTGCTGATTTACTACTGTTAGTTTGTGATTACACTTCCCACTGTTTTCACACCCCTCTGCTGGCTAAGATAACAACCCTTTAATGTATTTTAACACGACAAATAAAATATTCTGTTTCTTCTCCAAACACTCCGTTCTTTGCAATCAATCAATTTTATTTTATATAGCCCTTCTTACATCAGCTAATATCTCGAAGTGCTGTACAGAAACCCAGCCTAAAACCCCAAACAGCTAGTAATGCAGGTGTAGAAGCACGGTGGCTAGGAAAAACTCCCTAGAAAGGCCAAAACCTAGGAAGAAACCTAGAGAGGAACCAGGCTATGAGGGGTGGCCAGTCCTCTTCTGGCTGTGCCGGGTGGAGATTATAACAGAACCATGCCAAGATGTTCAAAAATGTTCATAAGTGACAAGCATGGTCAAATAATAATCAGGAATAAATCTCAGTTGGCTTTTCATAGCCGATCATTAAGAGTTGAAAACAGCAGGTCTGGGACAGGTAGGGGTTCCATAACCGCAGGCAGAACAGTTGAAACTGGAATAGCAGCAAGGCCAGGCGGACTGGGAACAGCAAGGAGTCACCACGGCCGGTAGTCCCGACGTATGGTCCTAGGGCTCAGGTCTCTCAGTTGGCTTTTCATAGCCGATCATTAAGAGTTGAAAACAGCAGGTCTGGGACAGGTAGGGGTTTCGTAACCGCAGGCAGAACAGTTGAAACTGGAATAGCAGCAAGGCCAGGCGGACTGGGGACAGCAAGGTGTCATCATGCCCGGTAGTCCTGACGTATGGTCCTAGGGCTCAGGTTCTCAGAGAGAAAGAGAGAACGAGAGAATTAGAGAGAGCATACTTAAATTCACACAGGACACTGGATAAGACAGGAGAAGTACTCCAGGTATAACCAACTAACCCCAGCCCCCCGACACATAAACTACTGCAGCATAAATACTGGAGGCTGAGACAGGAGCGGTCCGGAGACACTGTGGCCCCATCCGAAGAAACCCCCGGACAGGGCCAAACAGGAAGGATATAACCCCACCCACTCTGCCAAAGCACAGCCCCCGCACCACTAGAGGGATATCCTCAACCACCAACTTACAATCCTGAGACAAGGCCGAGTATAGCCCACAGAGGTCTCCACCACAGCACAAACCAAGGGGGGGCGCCAACCCAGACAGGAAGATCACGTCAGTAACTCAACCCACTCAAGTGACGCACCCCTCCTAGGGACGGCATGAAAGAGCACCAGCAAGCCAGTGACTCAGCCCCTGTAACAGGGTTAGAGGCAGAGAACCCCAGTGGAGAGAGGGGAACCGGCCTGGCAGAGACAGCAAGGGCTGTTCGTTGCTCCAGAGCCTTTCCGTTCACCTTCACACTCCTGGGCCAGACTACACTCAATCATATGACCTACTGAAGAGATAAGTCTTCAGTAAAGACTTAAAGGTTGAGACCGAGTCTGCGTCTCTCACATGGGTAGGCAGACTGTTCCATAAAAATGGAGATCTATAGGAGAAAGCCCTGCCTCCCGCTGTTTGCTTAGAAATTCTAGGGACAATTAGGAGGCCTGCGTCTTGTGACCGTAGCGTACGTATTGGTATGTACGGCAGGACCAACTCGGAAAGATAGGTAGGAGCAAGCCCATGTAACGCTTTATAGGTTAACAGTAAAACCTTGAAATCAGCCCTTGCCTTAACAGGAAGCCAGTGTAGGGAAGCTAGCACTGGAGTAATATGATCAAATTTCTTGGTTCTAGTCAGGATTCTAGCAGCCGTATTTAGCACTAACTGAAGTTTATTTAGTGCTTTATCCGGGTAGCCGGAAAGTAGAGCATTGCAGTAGTCTAACCTAGAAGTAACAAATGCATGGATTAATTTTTCTGCATCATTTTTGGACAGAAAATTTCTGATTTTTGCAATGTTACGTAGATGGAAAAAAGCTGTCCTTGAAACAGTCTTGATATGTTCGTCAAAAGAGAGATCAGGGTCAAGAGTTGCGGTCGTAAAAGCCATGCCAAGGTCTGTGACTTAAGTGATTGGGTTCTGTTCTGATGAGGTTGCCTTTGGCTCTGAGGTATAAACCTTAGGCTCCGTCCCAAACGACAGCCTATTCCCTATGTAGTGACCAGGGCTCATAGAGAATAGCGTGCCATTTGGGACACAGACTGTATTCTCTGATTAGCTGAGATAATCTCCAGGAATCACAGTGTTCTGTAAATGACAGCTAGCTGGGAAACAATGAACGATTAGTCTATGGGGAAGTCTACTCCCCTGACTCCATAACCTCAGAATGTGTGTGTGTGTGTGTGCGTCTAGAACTGTGATTGTTGGCTGGGACTCTGTCGGTCGCCACCTCTTTGACCAACTGTGTCAAACCGAGGAAGGGCTTTTCTCAGGAAGCTAATGGAGGTGGGACTAGGGGAGGGGTGACACAGGGTCAGTGGGTGTAAGGGCCATTATGTAAGATTTACTGTAGGGTGGGAGAGGGGGTGCTCCTAATCAGTCATTAAATTATGGGACTCAGTGAAATCCTGAAGTCACAGTCATTCTGGGTCTATGTTTGGTAAAATGTTGAGACTCCTTTCAGATGACTGGTCTGACCTGGGATGGCTGTTGGGGAAGTGGCTGTGTTGGGCCTGACAGGATGTGCGTGTGTATGTGTGTGTGTGTGTGTGTGTGTGTGTGAGTGAGTGAGTAAACTTCCTCCAAGACAGGAACAGTGTTCACTACCTTCACTTGTCAACTTAAGGACAGACACTTATAGGAGCAGAAGACCCAGGCAGCAGGAGCATGTTTTGGGATGGGGGTTCCCTTCAGTGTTTCCCCTATCCAACCATTAGAGGGAATTTGGTCTGGGGATTTTCCACTGGTGAGAATCCGGTAGTTTAGATTTGTATCTTACTTCCATGAGCCTCAGAGAGAGTATGAATACAGCAGATTCAGTCCAGCAGATCACAAGGCCTAAAATAAGACTGTCTGGGTTTCAGAATGACAGAGATCAGAAGTGGAGAGAAGCATTTCCCTTGTTCCCTAGGATGTGGTCTATCCGTGGCTTACCCTGTGTGTGTGTGTGTGTGTGTGTGTGTGTGTGTGTGTGTGTGTGTGTGTGTGTGTGTGTGTGTGTGTGTGTGTGTGTACCTCTGGACCGTGGTAGGGCCTGCCGTTGACGATCTCTGGTGAGGCGTACAGAGGGCTGCCACAGAACGTCTGAAGGAGCTTGTCTTTGTGGTAAAGGTTGGACAGACCAAAGTCAGCAATCTGGAGGAGGGAAGAGCATGACAATCAACGTTAAATGACCCTGGAATAAGACTCGCAGATCCCTGATTGCACCTTTAAAAGAGACCGTCCTGCTCCTATCCCTAAGGTGTTGAAATACAGCGTGTGAAAGATAAGAGATGGAAATCTCTACGAGGTGAAAGATCTTACCTTGATATTACAGTTTTCATCCAGTAGCACGTTTTCCAGTTTTAAATCCCTGTGCACGACTCCGTTCTACAAAGACAAAACAGGACAGGTCTGATTAAACTGTGACCCATTTACACACACACACACACACTTTTCTTCTGTCTACCATTTTTGGTGAGCTCATCTGCAATGGTTATTTTCAAGTGGCACATGTTCTATATAAATCCAGCATCTTTAATTAATCTCGATGATAAAATGTATTCTCACAAACATCTCTTGTGTTGTTGGGTGACACACTAAACAGCTGTTAAACATGTGGGACACAGAGTCTGCATCTCAAACGGCACCCTATTCCCTACATAGTGCACTACTTTTGACCAGAGACCTATGGGCCCAGGTCAAAATGAACGCAGTATGTAGGGATCAGAGGGTCATTTGGAATCCTCCTGAGTGGCGCAGTGGTCTAAGGCACTGCATCGCAGTGCTAGCTGTGCCACTAGAGATCCTGGTTCGAATCCAGGCTCTGCTGTAGCCGGCCGCAACCGGGAGACCAATGGGGCGGCGCACAATTGGCCCAGCGTCGTCCAGGGTAGGGGAGGGAATGGCCGGCAGGGAGGTAGCTCAGTTGGTAGAGCATGGCGTTTGCAACGCCAGGGTTGTGGGTTCGATTCCCACGGGGGGCCAGTATGAAAATAAAAAAGAATAATGTATGCACTAACTGTAAGTCGCTCTGGATAAGAGCGTCTGCTAAATGACGTAAATGTAAATGAATGCAACAAGTGATAGGAAGTGTGGTCATGGTTCAATATGAACCAGAAGAACCACATTAACAGTTAGGCCATGCACTGTGTTAATAATTCACTTAACCATTGAAGGCAGATGTACATGCTCAAAGAAAGATGTGGGCAAACTCTCTCTCTCTTTTTTTCTTTATTTCCCTCCCTCCCTCCCTCCCCCCCCTCCCTCCCTCCCTCCCTCCCTCCCTCCCTCCCTCCCTCCCTCCCTCTCTAGGGAGGAAGCAGGGGAAGTCTATACTCTGCCACACATCCTTCAGTCTGTCACTGCAGCGCTGCCCTGTCCTGATCTATTGTATCTCTATGTCCGGCTCATCCCTCCTCACCATGTCACGGTTGCCCCCGACAACTCCCTCACTACGATGTCACGGATGCCCCCGACAACTCCCTCCTCACGATGTCACCAGCAACTGTAGCCAGCCCTGTCAGTCAGTCAGCCTCTCCCAGCTGGCACCCTAGTCCATATATAGTGCACACTTTTTTGACCAGGGCCCATAGTAGTGCACTATATCGGGAATAGGGTGCCATTTGAGATGCACTCTCAGTCTCACCCAGCTGGGGATATGACATCACTCCACCATGGCCTACAGCGATGACATCAGTCATAGCCTCCAGCTGTAGGGTCTGTGGAGGACAAAGGGCCAACCCTCTCTGTGTCTCCCCAGGGAGCAGTACTCAACCTGGAGGTGGAGAGGGCCTGGGGGAAGGGGAGGATGGAGGAGTGGGGTAGGCTGGGGGATGGGCTGCTACATGGGCACAGAAGGACAATTATGTGTCTTACTGTGTGAGCTAACTCTGCTCTGCTGTAGGGTACTGTACCCTTTAACTCTGCTCTGCTGTAGGGTACTGTACCCTTTAACTCTGCTCTGCTGTAGGGTACTGTACCCTTTAACTCTGCTCTGCTGTAGGGTACTGTACCCTTTAACTCTAGTCTGCTGTAGGGTATTGTCCCATTTAACTCTGCTCTGCTGTAGGGTATTGTACCCTTTAACTCTGCTCTGCTGTAGGGTACTGTACCCTTTAACTCTGCTCTGCTGTAGGGTACTGTCCCCTTTAACTCTAGTCTGCTGTAGGGTACTGTACCCTTTAACTCTGCTCTGCTGTAGGGTACTGTACCCTTTAACTCTGCTCTGCTGTAGGGTACTGTCCCCTTTAACTCTGCTCTGCTGTAGGGTACTGTACCCTTTAACTCTAGTCTGCTGTAGGGTACTGTACCCTTTAACTCTAGTCTGCTGTAGGGTACTGTCCCCTTTAACTCTGCTCTGCTGTAGGATACTGTCCCCTTTAACTCTGCTATGCTGTA